TATTCTATGATTCTATGATTCTATGAATGCTTAGCTTCACTTTGTTTGAAATAAAGAACATAACATAGGTGATAATGAATGTTACTAAACAGACAGAGAAATTTTGCTATCACCTCAAATTTTCAAGTCTTAAAGTAAAAATATTTCACTAGCATTTACTATCTGGCATACTGAAATACAAAATGTCAGTAGCATAATTATAGTTTTAAAGGTATTTTAAAGTACAGATTACATTCACGCAATAACTCACATGGTCCAGGTATTTTCTTGAAGTAGACAACAAGCACACATGAAAAAGGTCAGAGCTGAGGCTATTATGGCTATTTTACCTTTGGATTTTCCCAGCTCTAGAATAACCTTTAGACAGATGAAGTATGAAAATAATTCACAAATAATCAAAACCAAAAATTGCACCTTAAGTTTGCCAAAACATGTCTCATTTGAAAAGGGCAGTTATCTAAACAATATCCATCTTTTAAAACTAGAGGCATATACATTTACCACCACAAACTATTGAGCTTTCCTTTGCATGCTATGCTATATATTATGTAAGCAAGCTGTACATGAAATAGAAGTCAGAAAACTGTCAGTCCCCGTCTCCTACAAAGCCACAAGCTTTGAGCATCTACATCACAGTCTGGGAACAGAGAAGAAAATGTTAACAAATATTAAATCCTTTCCATTTTATTAGAGAAATCAAAATGTATCAAAGAAACCACAATAAAAATCAATGCATTCGGCAATATTTGCTCTGTGGAATGAGGAATAGAGACTGTAAGACTATACTCACCACAGACAAACCCATCCAGGCTGACAGCAAAAATACTTCTCCCTTTTAGCAACTGAGGATGGGCACAACTGGCATTTACAAGGCTCTGAAAGTTGTTCTCTGACATCCACTGTGGTAGCCATTTTAACTGGCAATCGCACAAGAGACTTGACGTATTTAAGTGCCTGAAAAAAAGCAATTACATTCATTCACAAAAGATCAGATTATCTTCTGAAGTCCCTTCCAACCTGACCTGTTCTATGATTCCATGAAATACGCAAAGCTCATCAGTTTCTCTACGGCACCCAACAGAGTAATACCATAAGATGAAGTAGGGAGCCAGCTGCTAGGGTGATACTTCATAGGAGTCTGGAGAACACAAATTAAAAGCTCCAAACAAGCTTCAGTCAAGTTTCTACTCATAATGAGAGCAACATCTTTTAGTTATTCTTTAGCTGTTTGTCAGATTATTTACAGAGCAGCTCAGGACAACAGATCTGACTAGAGAAGGGTGATATGAAGAGAGGAGACATAAGATACATGCAAGAGGAAGAATTAGCTGTGCTCAAAACACAGGGAACGCTGGCAGTGTTTTTCTGCATTGATCAACTGAAAAAGAGGGTTAGAGGACAAAAAATCCCAAAACTCACTAGAAGAATACATTCTTCCCATTACTATTCATGACTTCTCTGAAAATCTGCCCCTTTGCTACTACAGGACAGAAGGACCCAATTACAAGCACTGACAACCAGGTCTTTGAAAAAGAATTACAGCACTGCATTTCATTGGTCCAGTAAGCCTTAGCTCAGCAATAGCACTGCTGATCTGATAGCACATTACATCAAAGTCTCCCTTATCTATTACCTATTTGAGATGAGGCAATTTAAAATAAGGACTCTAAACACCAAATGTAGCAGAAAATGAACGCCTCCTACCCTACACTCTCCCACTTAAACACGGTCACCACATAAAAAAAACCCAAAACATCAAAATGTTGATACAACCTTTTTATGTGACTTCAAAGAGATTATACTGGGAATTTATCACCGTATCAGGCAACATCTCACAAGGTTTTTATTTATATATTTATATGGATATATACGTATAATAGAGGTGATGTCTTTAGATATAAACTTACAATTCTTTGAGTTTCTTCATTTGTGAAAATGCATTTCCTTGAACTGACATAATCGCATTGTTACTTAGATCTCTAGGGAAAAAAAAAGAGAAAAGAACATTAGAGAAAAAAAAAAAAAAAAAAAAAGAGTAATTTACTACACTGAATGTATTTAAGACTCAAGGAATAGTTTGCTACCTTAGTGATACACAAAGGATGCCCTGGCTCAAAAACTAGAGATAGGATTAGGGAGGTTTATAGCACACTTAATACGTATCACTTTCTACATTGATTCCAAAATTCATATTCAGTGTAACTCCAAAATAAAAGAACCATCTCACAATCACAATAGGAAGCAGGGTAGGTCTATTTCATGCAAAGTTATAAGTAAAGCTTCTTAGTCCTACTTTTATTTCAGTTAGTATCAAAAATAAATTTTTCCAATGTTGGGTTAAATTTGAATTTCTACTACTTACAGGTGTTCAAGTGCATCCAAACCAGAAAATGCTTTCTTTGTAATGGATCTAATCCTGTTTCCTTGGAGTACCCTGAAAAATATAAGTACATGATGCAAAAAAGATGCAACAAAATTGAAGCATTTTTTGAGCTGAACAGTTGCATTTTTAGCATTTATTTCTAAACTGTAATAGTCACCATTCAACCTTCCCCAATGCAGCGAAACATCTCACCTCTAAAAGACACTCATTTATTCCTCTTGAGTAAACATCTAAATTTCAGAAGCTGTTTAATGTGTACAGTTCAGTGATACGGATTAGTCTAAATGTATACACATAAGCATCTTTTTAATTCATTGATGTGCATTCGAAAATTTCAGTGCAATGAAGCCACTTCCATTGGCTGCTTCATTACTTTATTAAAGACTACCCCGTCACTACGCTTTTGTCATAAAATGAACTTATTACTTCCCATTGTAGGAAATCCTCATTCTTTGAATAATGTTTCCATAAATAGCAGTAATATTTAAAATATTTCAGATCAGTTTGAGTTGAAAATTCTAGAACTTATTTTATAGAAAAGGAACACTTTTATAGAGAAAAAAATGGTAAGGGAAGGAAAAAAAAAAAACCCCAAACATCTCAGCTATGAAAAGTTTAACATCATTAAGTGTTGGGCATGTCCCTTGAAACACATATAACAAGCTGATTTTTTAAGGAATTATTAGATACAAATATTGTAACAATACTCACAGCTTCCTTAGTTTATCTAGGCCAGAGAAGGCACCATTCATATCTTCAATAGTCCATGATATTTCATTGTTTTTCAGATCCCTGTTTATGGGGGTGGGGAGAAAAATCAAACCACAAGAGCTATTTAAAAGAACAAAGTACATACTTCAAGAGCATGTATTACTTAAAAAAAAAAAAAAAAAAAAAAAAAATTCTAAAATAGCTTTCTGGTAGGTTATTTTTTGTTTGCTCGGGATGCTGTTTTGTTTGCTTTTTTTTAAGGGAAGCTTTTCCTGATCAGCCATTTCATTTCAATTTGTACTGAGATTCTGAAGACTATTAATACTTTTTCTTATGATAATTAAAAAGATTGCAAAATCAACAATTTTAAGTATCATTAGAATACAAACCCACATTCTCCTACAAGGGTATTCAAATACATGACTATCATAAGAGAATGAGTATCATAGGAAGGGAAATGATGAACTGCTGCCCCTTTAAAACACAACACACATGCTTTTGTAAGTTCATAATATTAACACAGAGAACACACTAAGTGAATCACTTTTGCAACCTACGACATCCAGAACACTAGCTTAATTATCTGTGAAGCACAAAGAGATTAAAGATTTGTGAAGAGAATGTTGTGTCAGTAAGGAATCAATAGGGTAGAGCTAAAGGAGGAAAAAAAAAAAAAAAAAAAGAATCTAGGAGGAAAAGTCTAACACTTAATTCCTAGACACTTCCCAAGTCAGACTTCCTCTCTGTGTAATCTGTATCTCTCTGTATACTTAAAAAACATAGCATAACACCCTCTGAACTGCATCTTTGCTAGATCCCTGAAGTGAGAATATGTCAGCAAATCCCTGGAAGTTAGCACCGTTTGAAAACCTAGATGGAAAGGCAACCATTTCACTTATCCGGCTAACAGACGGGGGCTATGGTACACAATTGGAAGATTTTAATGGAGCAGAATATATTTAGATTAGTTTACTACTTTCTTCCCTTTCAAGAAATACTATTTCAAAAAATGCTCAAATGCTTAAATCATTGCCCAGTCATGACAACCATCAGCATCCACAGTAATAGGCAGTTTTGAGTTTTGTCTCCTTATTTCTACCATGAGGGGAAAATGTCAATTCAGTTAAGACACAGCAATGATCCAGATCCCTGAAGTTGTGGGTAGCAGAGCTGCTTGCTGCCTTTGAATGGAGACATGCATTTCCCATAATAATGCTACTGAAACTTTGCATCATAATTACCACCATTACTGCATACAGCCTTAATGAAAGAAGTCCTCCCTCTTCCCAGTATTCTGAAGAAAAAAATCCTATTGTAAGAAAAACACATGCTAATCTGGGAAAGTTAACAAGAGCTCCTGGTGTATTTCATAAGGACAGAGGGGGAGGCAAAAAATTAATTTAAAAAACCCAACAAAACAAAACAAAACCAAAAATCTATAAATACCAAGGGTTTTCCTTAAGGTTTTTGAACTTAAAAATTGAGTTTGTCAACTTACAAAGTCTGTAGACTGGAAAGTCCCCTGAAGGCACAATCGGCAATGTAATTTACTTTGTTGTTTCCAATGTACAGTCCAACCAGCACACTTAAACCAACGAAGCTTGAATCATCTAACCTTGCTAAGTGATTGAACGTCAGATCTCTGCAAATTCGAGGGAAAAAAACAAAAAACACAAAAAACATTTTAATATTTATGCTGCAGTGCTTATTACTCAGTTCAACCCAGGTGAATTTTCAGCAGGGGATAAAGTTTGTCTCCCGTATAACTATCCCAAAACCTACTACGCCATTTTTGACCACACAGCTTGTGTATCATTTCAAACAATTCACATATTACTGCAGAACGAATTTCTCTGATTTGAAAATGACTGTGCTACAGCTTTAATACAACTGCCACAGTGAAATGAAGCAGTCACAGTTGGCTTCAACTCCTTTTAACAAAATGTGACTATCTCACATACAAAAAAGTTGTTGTCACCTTGGAAACCGTTATGAAAAATTCACAGATCAGTGGTAAGAAGCTCATGCTCTGGCATGTACCTGGCTTTCAAAACTGGAATAGAATAAAAGCTACTCACAGCTCACTGAGTTTTTGGCAAAATTCCCAGGCATCAGGACTGATCCTGCTGATGGCATTTTGGCTGAGATGGAGTTGCTGCAGCATCAGCAAGCCATAAAGCCAGCCTTTGGTGATCTCTGTTAAGTTGTTATGGTCCAGCTGCCTACAAACACATGCAAACACACACAAACAGGTAAAAGACGGAAGGTTCAGAAACTGCATGGTATGCATGCTTTGCCACAGGTCCACATATGACTTTATGATACTGGCTAGACAGCTGCAGCCTCTATTTACATTTAGAGTTGTATGCAGTTCAGTCCTGTCCTACACATTCACCAATGACTGCTTTCAGCTTTTCAAAGCACACTAAAACAATTTAACTCAAATATATCATTAATTTTATCACGCAATTCTATTAATTTTTTGCAATTATACTTAATATGTTGTCAGCAGAACCTATCAGCAAAAAGTTGATACTTACAAGACTTCCATGTTGGTCAATCCCCAGAAAGCACCATCCATGAGCCTAGTAACACCATTTCTCTGCAGTTTTAATGATTTCAAAGCTGGAAGTCCTTGGAAAGTAAGTCCATCTATTTTTTTAATTTTGTTGCGATTCAGCTCCCTGCATCAATAAAATTTACAGTTACAGCAGAGTAACTTCACCTGCACATCAGCAACCTTTCTTCCCTCTCTGGAAACAAACCTTATTTAAATGTTTTTCTTGCATATAAAACAACAGAGACAAGATGTAATAAAAATCAAACATTTTACTGTAATACATTATGTTTAACCATGCTAACACTGTTCTGCCTTTCTGATACTGAGGACAAGCTCTTGGTAGTTCCTTGACTTTCAGATTTAAAGAATCCCTCCAGACCTAGAATGTTACAGTCAATCCTGTTTACAAATTCAAAAGTGAAAGCAACTTCCTGGTGATTAGATAAATGACATAAGTAATCAGCCAGAAAGAAGAAGTTAAAAACTTTTAGTTGTGATAACTAGGCAAAACTTAGTATCTTTGGTGATCCATCTCTTTCTTAAGCTGGAGTCAAGCATTCATTACACATTCCTCCCTCATTCTCCATAACTAGTTACAAACAGTTCCTTCCTTCTTTCTCAGGCACTCTTGGCACTCACCCTTCCGCCACTACACACAGCCCTTGTAGGCCAGAAGTTGGGACCTATGTATATCCTGGAAGGGAGTTATAAGGCATAACTAGCTGAAGGGCAAGGTGCAGTCACAGTAGTACTCAATATTTTCTGTTTTCCTGCTCTCTACAACACCTTCTTGGCTTTGGTCCTTTTTAACTCCAAAGCCTCCACCAACGCCAAGCAGCTTTGTGACTGAGTCACATGAAAAGGGAAGTCTAGCCTCACACACACACAAAGAACAAGGTTAACTTTTTTTAAACAATGAATTTTAGACTAGCCATCATTTGCTAAATTAACAGTTTATTTATTAGAAACAATTGATATACAGTATAAAGAGACAGGGCTAGACAATACTAAGAAAAAGCCCTCATACAGCAATGAGTGATCATCTGTCCCATCAAGAAGGTCTTAGAGCAACCTGCATCCTACCAAATCAAAAAAAAAAAAAAAAAAAAATATCCTCTCCTTCCAAAACTTACTTCCCTATAGGAAGTAAAGGCCTAAATAATTCTCTCTACATAGTTATACCAAAATTATTTTTCAGAGTCTACGTCTTGTGAGAATTCATCTTTCCTCTCTGATGGCCTGATACAAACCCTACCTAGTAACAGACACCCAAAAGAGAACCCTAATTCCCCTTCTGTGTTTAAATATGTAAAAGCAGTGAAAAACATTCAGTAAAAACAGCGTTTAGTTTTTCCCCACTTTTTCTCTGAATAATTCTTTCAGGAGATAACACAAATTTCTGGCGTTCATTGAAGGTTAGCTGCCCAACATAACTAGCTCAGCCTACTGATGAAATCCCGAATGAAAAGAACTTTTTTAGGCAAGAGTATCACCAACTTCCAGAATTTCAGATGAATCTGAAGATCAGAAAGACTACTAAGATTGTTAATAAACCCTGGTATTTGCAGGACTGTTATTACACTCTTCTGCTGAGGCTTGAGTCAAACTCTTCCTGCATTTGTATACAGAAAAGACACAGTCACTGTTTCAATAGGTGTCCAGCATTGTTACATTTCACTGTTCTTACAACCTTTCAGTTCCAAGGCTAACCTAAAAGAGTTCATAATTTTCAACTCTTGACTATCTAATATAGAAAATAATCATTCAGGATTTAATGAAGTGCAGTCCTAGCCCATCCTCAACTCCCTGCACTCCTTAATTTTGGGGTTTTTTTTAAAGAAAAAGAAAAAAGATACTTCCCCATCCTATTCCATATTAAATAACTTTATCTATTATTTATTTGGTAAAACACTTATAGACAGCATTGTATCAATGAAGCTGATGGAGGTCTATTTACTCAAGCATATTGCTTATTGTCATATCTTCTGAAAGCAAATTAATTCATTTCACCATGAAAGCACAAAAATTCCCCTCATTTCACCATGAAAGCACAAAATAAATGAGACTGTTGTAGCAAACTACCCAAGTTTACTTCACTTAGTATTTTTCCAATGCTTTCTTATAGGAATACTGCTATTATCCCTTTTCCAGTTCCCCCCCCCCCTTTTAATAGGTAAACACAATTTTACAAAGACTATTCACATCTCACCAGTACATAAGACTAGTTTTGTTCAGTACAAAGCTGCAGTTAGTAAGGGTTGTGGTAATATGTTTTCTATGTCTCTCTCACTCTGCCTCTGGTTAAATTAAAGGCTAAAGTTCAAGCAGTGCCAGTGCTTTGGAAAACCTGAAAACAATTAGTCAATTGTAGGTTGCACTTACAGGTGCTGCAGATGGGAGAGTTTAAACATCTTTTGAGGGATTGCTGAAATTTTGTTCCTGTTCAGTTTCAATATTTGAAGTGTGGTAGACAAATTGTCAAAGGTACCAGGCTCCATGGAGGTTATTCTGTTACTGTTAATGTACCTGTTGAAACAATGTCTAGAAGGTTAAATTTACACTTATTTAATAAATTCTTAATACCAGGTACTGAAACACAAAGCCCTTGCACTGCCTACTCTTTGATAAATGGAATTTCATTTATTGTATTAATTAGAGCTCTTCACAGCTCAGTCTATGGTCGAATATTTCACCACCAACGTTTTGTTCTGCTCTGCAGGAATGTGTTACTGGCAGAAGATACCATGTTGCAAGCCCGTTACTTTATTCTCACTCAGTATAGCTCTGCACACTGCTATTGCTGTTACTGAATAAGGATTAAGGCAGATTCAAAAAAGTCCACGCAACTCCAAGCAACTAAAGACTAACTCAGCCATGTGGGACTTAAGTTCATTTTGTTACATATTTTTTTCTCTCAAGAGAGTCATCTATTTGTTTCATGTCAAGATAATAACCTTCACTTTTTATGAACTAAAACATATCATTGAAGCAACTCATGTATTCAAGTTAGCAGCTTATGTTAAACATTAGGTGAAAGTAGGAATAAGTATCTGATGCATGTCTAATTAGAAGATTTAGTACCTTAACAAATTGCTGCCAATCTAAGTTTTCCAACAAGTTTTTCTGAAATTAACCTGGTAGAAGAAAAAGTAATACCAAATTTTACTTACAGATACTTGAGCTGTAACGATGGAAATGATGATATTTTTAGCTCTGATATGTTGTTGTTGCTCAAGTCCAAAGTTTCTAGACTCTGAAATGGCTTCAAATGTTCAGACAAGATGTTGGCAATCTTGTTGCTGGTCCTGAAATTTAAGGACAGTAGTCAAAAGACTGTCATTTCCAGAGTAAACACTTGTTAACTACACATGACTGAGGAAAGTTAGTTCTGAGTTCCCCCACTTGAAAATAACTTCTAGTTAAAGAAAACCAATAAAGTATGTGCTCTAGACATAACATTCATTTCTAGCCATCACAAATTGGAATGCTCTAAATACATGTTCCCCGACATTTCTTAAAACTTATTCCCAGCAAACAAGATAAAAAGAATTGCATTATAATCCAATTACTGCAATTCATGGCTTTTAAAGCAAGATGTAAAACTCTCTGAGCACTATTTCTGAACAGTATAAATATCCAGTATTCGCATTGAAAAGTAGGTCACAGCATTGTAATTAAATGTTATTAGAGATGTTTTATATTTTAGCCAAATTAACATCATACTAGTCACAGTGTTTCGTTTCATTGAAAAATCCTACAGCATGAAAACCAGACTGAATTTCCTGAAAAACACAGCTAGATTTGAAAAGATGGATGACAGTGCACTCCCTCAGAAAGACAGTCTATAGTCCTGCAATTAGACCTAGTATTTCATCCTACAGATTCTTTTGAGTTCGCAAAAAATGAAATTTCTGCTCATTACAGAGGTTCTGGACTTCATGCCTGGTCAAATTTCAGTTATGTCTCACACCCAATTCCACAACGAAAACTCTCCAACTGTTTAAAGACACAGGTATCCTAGTCTACTCTAAGGAACACCCCTTTTTCATTTCCAATGAAATGCACTTTTTCCTGCGATCCTATTTCATGTTTGTACCCAGCAACCTACCAGTTTTTCCATCCCAGTTGCATAATCTACAGAATCATACACACACATCACCAGTGTTTATAGGGTTGGTTGGTCAGGGCTAATGGTACATAGGGGAAAACAGATCATAACCAGTTAAATGAATGAAACCAGAAATGATCCTTGCTACCTTGAGAAGTTCAAGTCAGTTCTGCCCATGGTACATTTTATACCTAGTATGATGACTGATCAAAATTTAGGAGCTCTCCCCAGCTACTAGAGACTGCAGGGAAAGGCAATTTCAGTAAACCTATCAACAAGAATGCAGATTCTGGAAGGTGTTTGCCTTTATTGGAAATACTTGCTTTGGATCAAATACTAAGCCACACATTTAGAATAGCATGGACAACCCTCATATATTCCAGGGGTATGGGGGATTACTGCTCAAGACCAAAAAAAGTCATGACTCAAAAACTGAACCAGAAGTTAGATTAATGGGCCTTCTGACCACATGTGGGAACGGGTAAGTGATCTTGCAGCCCCTCCAACGCTGCGCTTGCATCGTGTTTCATTCCTCATGCTGTCTGGTAGAGGTACACTGCACTTTTTTAACTCTTAGCTGAGAGTATTTATAATAAATGGAAACAAATTACTTCAATAAAAAACAACAACAAACACCACCACCATGTGTCAATTCCACTGGCCAAGTAAGACTGTGAGTTAGATAACAGGTCATAGAGCCTTGCCTTTATGCATTAGTTTGTTTATAAGGTAATTACTAACAAGGTATTAAAACTGCCAATTACTTCAGTGATGAATAAAATTTTCCTTGCAGTAAAAGTGTGCTCCAGCAGAAGCCAGCAATTTCCTGAACTGCACGCCTCCTAAATTGCAGTGTGAAAGTGTTCAGTTATAGAGACAGCTTGCACAGTGCTGTCTTTGTGTCAGCACTGCTCCATAAAACAGAAATTCCTCGCAACTGGCAGGATAATAGCCCCTGTATTACAAAGTTTAGTTGGACCTAATGGAACTGAATAAAACTCTTATACAGCCTTCAGATTAGCACTTAAACTAACTGGCAAATTACCTGACACAGACCAGGTTAAACCAAACAAACAGAAAAACCCAGCTTGTTTGTTTCATGGAAGGTTTTACTTTTTTGGAGAAGGTAAGGTCATATTGTGGGCAGAAAGCAACTTCTTTTGTTTGCTGAAACAGTGAACACATTAAAGTCCTAGTTCATCTCACAACGCAAAAAATCAAACCAGCCCTCACTGCACCTGCCTGCTTACTCATATTTATAAAAGTAACTGAAATGCAAAATATCTGAATAGCTCACTCCTTATTGCTCCAACCTCCTAGTCCAGTTTTCTCCAAAAAAAAAAAAAACCAAACAAAAAAAAACAAAAAAAACAAAAAAACAAAAAAAAAACACGAAAAAAAAAAACCCACCAAAAAAAACCCCCACTAAAAGTGCCATAATTCACACCTCAAAGGAGATTATCCAGCACTGAACATACCTGAACAGTTCTACTTTAAGGACCAACTTCAGTTAAAATGAGAAACTTCAATTCTAGTTTCATTTTCCTTAACAATCATCACTTAAGTATATCAAATAGAAACAATGTATCAGCTTTCTCACAACTACCAAACTACTGTCAAAATTAGCCAAGAAAATGTGTTTGAAAATGTAAGCCTATCTAACTGTCAAGGCAGAACTGAACAGTATCCTCTGTGTTGGTACAATGACATACAAGTTTGTTCAGTATGGGGGGGGAAGAAAAAAACCAAACCAAAATAAAATGACCCCAAAACCCCCAACTTTCCAGCAAATTGCTGTTATTACTGTGCTCAGACAAAAGTTGCTGCACACACTGCACTGGTTTCATTTCAGAGACCCTCAAGGGGGGATCAGAGCCACAGGAGAACCAGCACATCAAGTTCTCACAGGAGTGGACCTGAAGCAATTTGATAACAATTTCTTCATGTGCAAGGAACAGCAACCCAATGCAGCTTCCTTACAACTTCTCCTGCTAAGGCTAAAGAAGCTGTAGCATTGAGAAACACAAAATGACCGAAAATACCTGCAAGAATTTGAACATGTCTTTTGCAATTTGAGTGCCTACATCCTGACTTGCGGCAACAAAAAAAAACAACCACCACCCAAGAGTGCATACAGACTGATTTAATTATTTTTACGTATGCCTGTGTGAATACCACCTTAAGACAGAGTATCAGTTTTTCATTATGGGTATGAGAAACCTTAGCTTTCCTTCTCAGCATTCATTACTTTAACCACACTGCTAGGCCAAAACATCTGTAACAGCCCTATCAATCATGATCTCAAGATTCATTCTATATAAGCAAGAGCTACAACATATCTGACATACTGACTTGTGCCTTCCTTGCCTTTGGGGAAGTACAAAGCAAGACAGCAACTTCTGTATCCATTTTGTTAAGGATCTAGTTAACACCATTTAGATGTAATAGTTCTTACGCGGTGGGGAAGCAAAAATGAAGAATCTGTGATAGAATGACTAAGTATCTCTTGATAAAGATTGCCAATATGTTTTCTACCTAAGTATCTATGCAAGCTTCATTATTCTGATCCTGTAAGATGGAAACCCCAATGCAGAAATAGATTTAAGACCTGAAGTTCTACCTTTTGTTTCTATTCAAAGTTTCAGGAAAAAAAAAAAAAAAAAAAAATAAATTCTTGCACTTCCTTCTCCAGCATAACTCTTTCTTCCAGGTAGACCTTGATCTGCTGTGTTTCGAGAAGCTCTTAGTTTTATCTTGCACCATGATCATGACAAGGATCATTTGCAGGAGCCTAGAGGTGGAGCAACCCAATAAAAAACAAGCTGTCTAGAAAGACAGTTTTGGAGAGCTGTCTGTGCAGCCTGTTCTCCCAAGTAGCTAGATGTAAAATAACCGTTTTAACATCCACCTGGTTCTAGACTAACACAGTACCTCAACTAAGCCCTGAGAGGCAGCATATACTTAATTTGCCTCACAAGCAGGCAAATGAAATCATACTGGAGGCTCCTGCTAAAGACTAAAAGTATATGCAAAGAGAAAAAAGCACTCTGCTAGGGCTAGATAAATCTTTCTGAGCAGTGCTGAAGCCAAGACACTGGCGTTCACAGATACTTAGTTTGACCGTCTTGTGTTTACTTGACTTCCAGATTAGAGCTGGCATGGAGGCACCATATCAGAGCACAGGCAAACCAGATGTGATTGTCCACAGTGGAGCACATACCTGGTGGTCTCCACTACAGCTCAAAACCTCCTGTTTCAGTTTCCCGTGATCTTTATGGTTGCCTCACCTGTTCCTCCCTCCACTCACCCACTGATAATATACAACTGCTGGCATATCATCTATTGTTTCTTGTACTCCTGCATAAACTCCTTTGGACTTCTGGAGCTCTTGTAAGAAACGATGTCAAGACACCAAGTTAACAAAAACAAAAAAAAAAAAAAAGAAGAAGAAAAAAAAGGTGAAAGATCAAGACTTAATTAACTTCCTTTAAAGCTGTAATTAACTTCCTTACAGAGTGCTGGAAGACACATGCTTTGTGGCTTTTAGGGTAAGGCTGAACAACTTTAAGGAGCACATACCAGAAGAAAGAGTCTCAGTAACTCCTACGAGTAGAGAGAGAAAAAATTTTTTTTTCCATTACTTCCACACATTTGACTACTAAAATTAGCCAGATTGCAATGAACAATTATATAATTTAAAATATTGTAATTATGGTTTCAAGCAGAACTCTACCCTTACAAAATACCCCCTATATGAATGGGACTACATGCTCTTCTCACCAGACACTGCATTGAATAAGAACATCCAGTTTTCTACACTTTTGCAACTATTAGATACAGAAATATTTCAAGCTGAACTGGTTTTCTCCAGACAAAGATGCCAGAAATAAAGCCAGAATTCTGGCTTACTTCCAGTCCTACTGGTAGGTCTACAAGTTTCATGCCCCCTTCACACACAGGCTTCTCACGTTCCTTGCGGCAACCAGTTTTTCTTTCTTTTGAAGGCCTCCCTCATTCCATGATCCATGCCTGTCATTGCACTTTCAAGCCAGATGTCAGCAAGTCTCTGCTGTTACTTTTTTGTACTTTTTGTGGTATACAGGCATAAAACAGAAAATGAAAACTCAGAACTCTGCAGGCTGCTGATACCCTGTCCAAAACTTGACACCAAAGGTTTATTGATTCACAAATCAAACA